AAAAAAAAAAAAAAAAAAGAGAGAGAAAGAGGTATTTGCAATACACATTGTATGGGAACATTATATATCCTTTAACAGAAAGAAACCACTGTCTCTGTATGCTGCCCTAGTCCTTACCTTCTGCTAAGTCCTGGAACCTGGAGGTGGAGAGGAAGGGAGAGAAGGAAAAACAAAACAGGATTACTGGTTTAGTACCAATAATAACATTAGCAGCATAGTGTCGCTGTACTTATTATGGTTTTGTCAAAAAAGGAAGAACGTATTTTGCACAAGAAATTACAAAGAGCTCATTCCAGAAGACATCTGCCTCATAAATCCAAAAACTGAAACCAAATCACTGAGGTATTGAGAAAACAGCAATTTTACACTTCTCCCATATCTGTAACTTGCGTCACACACAATCTAATGTCACATCCTCCAAGTACAAATCTACCCAGTGTATATACACCTCAGCTAGTTGCAGTTGTCTAGTTCCAATGAAGAACAGTAGCACAAGCTTCAGGCACCTTATGCATGTTAACCAGGGCTTTGAGACAAGCCCACTCTCGTGACACTGTCACCAGGACAAGCGAGGGTAGAGAGAAAGCAAAGTAAAAGTTGTTTAGGACAAGGTGGCACATGCAAGATGTATTTCAACAGGACTCACTTTTTGACCAGCTTGTACAGGCGCTTTCTGTTAAGGGAAGGTGTATTTTTCTTGCTCGCCAATTCAAAGAGTTTGTCAGCAACAGCCTTGTAATCAAACTGTTGGAGGAAAGTATGATACAGCTTTTCTTAGTTAGCTTATTCATGCAAGATAGCCCGATGCGATTCGTGTTATCAAGAAGCATACACATCCTTTAAACAGCCACTTCCTTTAAACCCAAAGTAGAGGGGGTACTGTTGGCATTTACACCACCTTCACACATGTATACTGACTTTTACAGATGGTTGCTTCATTACCAGAACAGTTGAACCCAGTATCACTTTCTCAAACATTCCTAACCTGAATTCTTACACAAGTGAGAAGCCAGCCACCTTCAAACCTCCTGCAAATATTTAGCTAAATATCAGATTTAAAGTGTGTCATGTCCTAATTCTTGCTTAAAAGCCGCAGATGCATGAAGCGTATCTACCTGCATGTGTGTTTGATGGCTGGATCTGTCAAAAACACTACACTGCACTGGAAGTGGGTCTAAAAAAACCCAAATTGCAACATGTTATCCTCTCTCCTATGTATCCCATCATCAATTACTTTTGCTCTTATTGCAAATTAAACTTATGCTGATTGCTTCACCACTCACAGTGACTTGGCTTTTGGCATACATTTTTGAACTCTTGAAACAGGAAGGGAGGAGCAGAAAAAAGAAGGTGTGGGAGACCGGAAAGAAGAATTCATAGTTTAGACTGAATTTATTTTCTTATAAACTACTCAGAGAGTACACGTTACATAAACATCACTTTGCATTAAGGCAGAAAGGGATTACATTTTTGTAACATGTTTATCCAATTAACACCCTTTATTTCTGTACTTCTTGAAAGGGATGGGAAAAAATAAAACAAAGGGGGAGTGTTGATAACAGAACAAGCAAGTCACAAACCTGAAGAACAGTCCCAATACCGTCATCAGCATTTTCATAAACATCCTCTGTTTTTTCAGAGCTCTGCACTGATTTTCTTGACAAACATCTGTCTGCTATTAAAAAAAAAAAGACTGAGTATTAATGTTTAGTTTGTAAAAACCAAGATAGCACACCCTACTCTGATAGACAGAAGAACAGGTGCATTTTTCTTCATGCAATCTTGTGAGCCTGGACTGATTTAAGTACTTTATGTCACCATTATGCAATACACAACTGTGTCACTACCTGAGTGCTTTTTAAAAAATTGCCTCTGTACCAGAGTATATCTGGATTGAAAACCTTCCTGCTCAGCTTTTTTACTTTGTTTTTTTAATTTAAAACTCCCATGGAATCACAAAAGCTCATCTTCTTCAAAAATGTATGGACATCCAAGAACCAAAAGCCAGACTGGGTTATCATCTAGCACTATTGCAGAAAGCTGATATTGCCTGGCTTTACAGAGACCGCTGATTTTTGTGATATTCTTTTGGAGTCACTTTGTTTAAGCACACCTAAAGGGAATACAGGGAAACACAATTATCCTTACAACACCTTGAACATGTGTTTGGCTGGTTCAGAGCAGAAATGTATTTTTAAGAAACAGATTTTTAAATCCTAGCAAGTGTTACCAAGGCCATTTAGTACTTCCTCCTCACCTTTGGTTTTAAACACCTCTTCATCTTCCTGTTTGTCGTCTTCAGACACATCCTCCTCATCACTGTTGCTACCCAGTTCTTTCATTAGGTCCTCGATGGCATAGGGGGACTGATCCACAATGATCTCAAAGATACCAGTGGCTACAGCATGCAGCACACATCGACTGCATTACAAGAGAGCAGCGGTGAGAGTTGAAAGGTAGAAGCACACACGCCTTCCCCTCTCACATTAAAAATATGGAAATTTGAGGGACACAGGGAAAATGGGCAAGAAAGAAAAAAGTGGAAAAGCATCTAGCTCTCCAGATGAGGAAAGTGAACCTGTCACTTCCTAAACAGAAATCCTTTAATTCAAACAGTGTCCCGCCAATGTTTCCCTCTTAAATTTCACTGTTTATATGCTGCTCTATATTACACTGCAACAACAAAGAATCTGATCATCTCAGCTGTTCTATGCATGTTTAAAAAAAAAAAAAAACCCAAAAAATGAGACAAAACCAACCAGCAGAGGTTGCTAATAGTTCTTATAAATCTGTGAAGATTATCTATAGCTTTGATAAACACAAGTTATCTTCAAATGACTGTGCAAATCATTAGTAAAATATCCTTTCTCTACATTCTGAAGAATATTATGACTCTTCTTCAATCCATTTATTACCATCTGGAGTGATATATGCAGAATTTCTTGATTATTTAAAAATATTTATCTTTTCATTACACTTACTCCTTTGATTTGGCAGCAATTTTGCAGAAAGGTTCAATGAACTTGAGATTCTGGTCTGCTGTAAGCTGTATGATCAGAAAGAAAAAAATAATGAGTACAGTAAATATTGTATGTGTACACAATTTCCTTGAATATTTGGTATAGGGGGATCTTCTTTATGAAGATAAGTCAAAGTTTTTCAGCATACTCTCTAATTCCAACTGACAGGAGTATCCAGTGACTCTTTGTTACCACTGCTAACACTAACTTCCAGATATTCCCCAGAAGCATTATAAAAATGCTGACTGCTTTGCAGACTTCAATCTACTGAGTACAGAAATATAACAAAACTTCTTATTTTAGATATGGAAACATGAAGCAGAGAAAACAAATAATTTTGTGTACTTTCACACAGATGGTCTGTAGCAGACATGAAGATCTGGGTTTCTCTTAACTGGACAACTTGGACCAAAACACTGTCAGTTACAGTACTACTAACGATAAAATCCTTCCCTAGATTCAATTTATGAGCATCAGCTGCGATTTCAAATAGTCTAGGGGACTAATTCCCCATGCTTCCTGTGAGTGGCTTAGCCACAGCTTTGAGGCTGTGGAGCTGCAGAAATTATTTAGGCTCCAAGCAGGCACTTCTCTTGTGCAGACATTATCTCCCTCTCAGTCCACAAAAGCTGCAGGCAAGATTGCTTTCAATACTGACTGCAAAGAATACAAATGGAAAATTGCTAACAGCCTCGTCCATTGCAAGGAGATGTATCAGATGCCAGAAAGGAGAGGAGGTAAATGAACACAAGCCTGGAACACGGTGTGGGGCAGTGGGCAGCTCGCCCTGGTGGAGTAACAGGAGAAATACTCTTTGGAAGAAGTTCAGCAGTGACAGCTGCAGTAACAGGCTTTCAGTTGCTGCAAAACTCTACATCACTAACATCAACCAAAACTAAGGGCAACCAAAACAGTAATATACAGCAGACAAAGACAGATGTCATCAGCAAAATGAACACGTGGATGTAGAGGGTAAATTGCTCAATGCACAGCCAACAAGGTCTGAGGCTGAGAATAAGCAAATATTAGACAGCTTTGAAAGCTCACTTTCTTCCTCTACATAGGTGTTATACAATCAGCCAAAAGCAGGTTTTATCTCAGTTTTTGCAAAAGCAAAGACTGGCAAACGTGTTCACACAAGAGAAAAGACATTGAGTCCTTTCTGTTGAAACAAACAAATGAGAATAGTCTAACTTTTATATCGTTACTTCCAACCTCAATTTGAAGCAGTGTACCAGTATTCAGGAACTTGAGAGAAACTACTATATTCTCACTGTCTACACTAAAGACATGAATAAAAGTAAAAGGATAAATTGTAATGAATCACTTTCTTCATGCTTATTCAATGTTAATGTATTTAAAACTGTTAAAACATACATAATCTAAAAATTGTATTTCTTCTAAAATGCTGCATGCTACAGCTAACATTAATCAGGAAGAAAATTACAACATATTTTCTAACCTCCTTTGCACCAACTTTAGCCAATTCATCCAGATAGATATCAATGAAATGTAACTTTATCCCAGTAGGAGCATTACTGTCTGAGTCCATAACTTCCTTCATTAGTAGCTGCAGGAAGAGTTCAATTAGACTGGAAAAAAAAAAAAAGGAAAAAAAAGAAAAAGAACAAAATATTCATATTCAACTGCTCATATTCTATTTGCTTTGAAAATAAATTCTCATCATTCACAGTTTTACCAGTTCTTCAAGACAGCTATCCAACACTTGTAAGAAATAAATCCAGTGACCAATTTTCACATCTTAAAGCAAACTTTAAAAAACTCCATAATCAGAGCTCCCAGATGATTTTGTAGCATCAGACATTCCATTCAATGCAATTTGCTACAGTGAAAAACGGTTTTAAAATTCACACCTTAATTTGGACTGAAAATTTTTATATTATGCCTCATGATTGATGGGTAGGAGGAGGGATTCTGCTGTTTGAGCAGGGCATTCCAAAGACATAGCTGTTGCGTTCACCGATCCTTGATGGGCATCACCTTTTACCCTTCCATTTTATGAGACGATTTTCACTTTGGTGCACACCCAAGGATTGAATTTAATACTGATCTTTCTCAAACTCATTTCAACTGTGCAGACTTTGCCTTCATTAAAGCATGTTATCCACTGTCTGTTAGAGCAAAACAATTATACTGAGGAACAGATCGAGGGCTAAGCTAGGCATTAAAAAAATCATCATCCCAATAGCTCAAGCCAGAAGTGACTGAGCTGTGTACAAGTAGGACTGTGGTTCTGTTCAGTTACTGACGTCTGGAGTACTAACAAATACTGCTGGAGTGACATGGCTCAGAGATATGCTGTCATTGCTGCATCTAGGCAGCACTGGGGACTTTTTTTTTTTTTTTTTCCTGAGGCCTATCCTTGCTATCTTTCAGGAAAGTGAAGCTGTGTATATTCCACGCTTTCTCCCCTGGTGTTCTGTGAGACCTCCTGGAATTTTGCCTAGAACAAACATGTCCAGTTCCAAGGAGAATTTAAAGCATTCCAAAACCAGAAAGATTATTTTAGTTTTAATACTCCTTTCTTCAAAAGCACTTGGAAAGAAAAGAGGAATGGAAGACATGCTAGGCAGCTTCTAGGCTCCTCCTAGGAGGGAAAGGCAGCTCTTGAGCTCCCTCACCCTGCAAAGGAATCATGATCTTCTCTTCCCACCCCATCTCCTCTGATGGTGAAGGGCCTCCAGGCCACTCTTTCAGTGAAGCTGGAAAAAGGGAGGCCAAAGCCATAAGAAACCTTGTCAGAGATCAGTTTGGGTGACCATGTCTCTGCCATGGAAATGTGTTTGGGGAAAAAGGGCTTTGGCTTTATCAAACCTCCTCCCATACTTTCTGTTCCTGTCAAGGAGTGTTTTCATCTCTTCAACATGTGGGCATTTACCCAGTGCAGAATTAAGGCAGAGCAGAGGGGATGGGGTGTACTTTAGCTTTGCATTCCTTTCTATTTCCACAAAAACATGCCCATATGCATTCCACATTTCACGAGGCAAGAGAGAGAAAGGATAACCTTAACACCAGGTTATCAAGCGTTTTTAATTAAAGATTAAAAGCTCTTCATCAGTTTAAACACAGAGCAAGCTTAGAAGTCACACAAGAGCTCTAGACAGAGCAAGATGACTGCAGCTACTTGCCATTTGGTAGAATATGGAAGAAATACAAACAAAACCACTGATGTATACAATAAACAGGAAGCCAGTTTACAATTAAGGAGTTCTGTCTTAACAAGAGACAAGTCACCATTTATAAAGTCACAGCCAATCAGACCACCACCACAACCCCCCCAAAAAAAATTATTTTTCTGTATTTTCTGGGATGCAGGTTACCTGTCTAATCTCTCCACAGGTGATATTCCACTGATAGCTCTCCTGGCTAAATCAGTCAAATCTAGCAAACTCCATGAAAAATTTGGAACCCTCAGATTTCACCACTGCTTGGAATACCACACAATACCATACAACCACAGGTTGCTACATTCAGGTTTTGCATAAGCATACATGAATTACTTTCTCAAATCTCCTTCTGTGAAACATGCACTCAATGGCTTAGGTGAATGTGAGAGTTATCAATTGCCGTGTGTATTTAACTCAATGAAGCGTAGCACCTAAATTTGTTTCTAAACTATGTAAGGAACAAATAAACCGTAGTGCTAAGACTTCCTGACAGCGCTGTCTATGGAGAAAAAGGATCTATTAAAAGAAAATGTATTTGATAAATGTAAATTGGGCAACTTCTTTATGATGCAACTACATTCAGAAATCTGCTTACCTTTCATCCCATTCATTTCTTTTCAGCACTTCAAAGGACTGCCTCAAAATCCTACGCATTAGCTGCAAGGTACAAAAATTGTTACAAATGCTGTTCATGAAAACAGATAAAGGAGTTACTATGACTGTAATGTGAATAGACTTCTTAGTAAACCTCTTCATAGCACAACAAGGTGGAAAGCCTCCTCATATGAACATTTTGACAGACTTGTCTATCATGTCAAGCAACAAAAGGATGCTGTGAAGCTCAAAAGACAATAAACTATTTTCATATCCGAAGCCCAGAAAAATCCATGACCATTTCTACTACACAGCTTCTTCTTGCTCCATCACGCCAATTTCTTCATTAAGTGCTGACAAATTTAAAAAAAAACATGGCTTAAACTGAATACAACAGTACAGGACAGATGATAACAATAATAATTTAATTTACTTGAAACTTGTGCTAAGAGACAACCTTATGTAAAACAGCTACATATAAACGACTCAAAACACTTCACTTCCTGAAATACTTGGTTTCTGCTAACATTGAGAAACAAAAAACAGCAATGAACGTGCCTGCAATTAACTTCTTTCAAAGAAGAAAATACAATTTTGTTCTTTACAAAGGTAAAGTAGGTCTTTTACGATTCTTCTCTTACTAATTTTATTATTTGTTTTAATATAGTGTTTCCTATAGAAAGAATTCTGATACCTGAACGTACTACAGTGGATACTTTAGTGGGAGAAAGTTGGGATTCTAGTGACAACTACTTTATACAGAGTCATAAAAACGTCTTTCAACAGTCTGATCTAAATAGCTAATGTCAATGCAACGTCCTCTGAGACAGTATTTATATTCTGTATAGAAATCAAATGAGGAACACCACTATGTTATAAAGGAAGGCAAACAAGAAAGCACTTGCAGCATGACATAAACTATAATGGCTTTTAGATTTGCAGTGGTGAGTGAAAGCCTTTAAAACAAGTATCTCTTACAATGCATCAAGAAGATAGCCACTTGTCTTCTCTTACAATATATATAAATGCACGTGCAGACAAAGGTGCCTTCCAGCACACCACCACCACATCTTTTCTCGCAGAAAAGATCTACAAGAGAATTAGTATATTACCATATAGTACTTATCGAGACGCAGACTGTCTATCCCATTCCATTCACGGTTCATAGTTTGCCAAAATGTCTGAATGAACAGATGTCCTGTAAGAGAGTAAGAAAAAATATCTGCTTGTCTGGCACAACAGTTTATTTTGATAACCTAAAAAGAATCTCAAGAAATCACTTTAACATGAGAAAGGGCTGCATTTCCCTAGTGACTGGGAAAGAGCTATGGGAAGACGTGCTTGAGACACATACAAGGACAAGTCAATTAAACTTCAGAACAACACAAGAAAAGGCACACAGCTACTTTTAAAGACAAGTGTAATTACAGAGGCAGTTTTGTCTATATTTTGTAGGCAAGTTAAGAGCAAAATATCCATTCTGCACTCAGTTCTGCACCCATGCAAGTGCACTCTATTTCAAGTGCACTCTATTTCAAGTGCATTTTGAATACTAGGTGCTCAACAGCTCATGAAACAAAGCTTCAAGAGTAGGAAATACACAGAACAATTAAGTCTATGCAGAATGGCAAAGGCAGAGGACAAGTGTGCTTTGCTACGCATCCTGCAAAGTCTCACCTATATCACACTGGAGATATAACTCTTCCCCCGCAACAACCAGAAACAAACCACATCACACGCTTCCCTTAATGTAATCACACACAGCAGTTGGACAAAAAGCAAAGAAAAAGCCAAGGAAGCACCCCTTTCTGGCTGTCTCTATTCTGGCACTGTGATAGTGGCCTCAAAATCGCCAAAGATCAAAGTACCTTACAAAGTGTTACATAATTAAATAGTACTTACGAGCCTCTGTATTCTGAATCACATGGATAAGCTGTGAGATATTGTCTGCAAGTTCCTCCTAAAAGTAAATAAATACAGTTAGCATAGCACGTTTCAGAGCTTGGTCTCCTCACTAAACATGCAACCAGAAAACAGCAAGAAGTATGAATATCATCAAACATCCCTCAAAATTAAAAATATTCTCTTAACAACTGCATTAGTATTGCAGTTATCTTTCCACTGGGATTAGGTCAGTTTAAGGGAAGACTCAAGGCTATCAAGCTCTGTTCATTTCACCAGATCTCTGCACAAGTCATCTTTTTGACAGCAGACAAGACAGGAGGAGAAAAATCCCATTTATTTGAATTAACAATTGACATAAAACTTTAGGGGTACTGTTTCCATACAGTTTAATTGTAGGTGGAGCTCTCTGTGCTATGTAAGAGAAAAAAACTTGTTCATGCAAACAGACAAGTGATCTGAAAACTGATTAAGTGAGGTTACTAAGATTTTGTACTCCCAAACTGGTATCTTTTAAAAGTATGGAGACAAATTGGTAGTAGTTGACTAAAGTCAGTAGTAGAGACAAAGTTGGTAGTAGAGGAAGTGCCACTGAACTAACAAAAGAAAAGGAAGTGTGAAATTTTGAAACGAGGCTAATCAAAGGCTGCAGGTATGTTGTAGTTGCACTTAAGGGCAACCTGCTGTTACTGCTTTCGTTCCACCAAATCAATGCACTTCACAATGGTATGTATTTCACTTCTGGTTTTGGAAGGTAAAAGCTACACCTGCCATTCAGAGGGCGACTCCAAACAGGATGCCATTGAGCCTTCTGCTCATGTGGTGAGGATCATTGAGTTACAGTGACCTCTAATGCAAATGTCACATATGAGCAGCAGGGGAAGGGGAAAAAAAGAAAGAGGTAAGCAAAACTCACTAGGGTAATTTTCATTATTCTAAATTAGGATGTCCCTACAGTATATTTAAGAGGAGACACACTCAAGCGAATATAAACTCTGTTACTGTACCTGTAGCAGAGGTTTATCCTGCATCCACATACAATAGAATAGGCCCTTCCATATTTTCAGCAGTTCTTCCTGGCTGAAGCCACCTATGGTGCAGAAGTACTTTGATTGAAAACAGAAAGTCTCACATTTCCACCAAAATGTTTTCATGCAGTTTCCTCTGTTCCCTGCTTTCTTTCGGTTTTGTTATATTCTCTTGAGCAAACCTTGGTTCCTACTACAAGCACAGTAATTGGAAGGCAACTTGGTACAGTTCAGTGATTCCATGACAGTAAGCTTCTAATTTGTATCAAAGTAAGAAAGATTTCCAAAGAACCACAGATGAGATGAGATGAGATGAATACTAAAATAATTCTGATAAAGTCCCCTGGCATATTTTAGCACCAGGTCTGAGAGATATTCTTAAGGAGGGCATCATATCTAATTTTGCAACAGAGGTGATATGCAAATCCTCAAGCATAACTGACAAAGCTTTCTGGTTGTTTTGTTTTTTAAATAAAGACTCACTTTACCAATAGTTTTGTTCGTTACTAGAGGCTTGTTTTGACAGAATAAGCTTCTAGCAGCCAACAAATTTGTTTTGATATTACAATGCATAATCAAAGAGCCTGAGCAACCATAATGAAAATACTTTCCTTACAGCTAGTCCTGAGGTACAGTATCACCTGAACTTTAACAGCAAAGAATATTTTCACTATTAACAGTGTAAAAATTCACATTCTAGTCAGAATCTAGTAATAGTGTTCAAGAACATTTTAAAAACCAGGTTATTCATGACATCAGATACATTGCTGGGAAGGAAAATTATAACAGCATACTGTTACAAGGTAGATACAATAACCTACTACATCTATTTTCAAACTATGGCTTATTAAGTACTGTCAAGTGATTTCAAGAAAAATCACATTAAAAAGGTAATCATCATCAGTAAGCTCAGATTTGCTCCAAAAGGATCACTGTCACTTGAAAAATTTTCAAGTGTTTGCCAATCGAAAATCCTAAGACCCAGTGCTAGGTCTAAACTAAGTACCTCCTCCTTGGATCAAGTCAACTGAAAGCATTTAACACTACCGCATCGTTCTCCAGACAAAAAGCCTGTAAACACGTTAGTTAAATCGTCTACCGTCATGCTGGCATAAAAAGAAAGGAAATAGAGCTGAGCGAAGGAAATATGCCAAATGCTATGTAGGAAGCAATACCTCTAGTAATATTAAGCATTATTAGAAATTTAATTTAGATTTGGCAGTAATGTTAAGATTAAATATGAAATAATTTGATTCACTGATTTAATATTAATTGAAATATTAAAATTAGTAACATTTCTTAACAGAATTATACACTAGATATGTAGAAGAAGCAGGCTTAACCTCACAGGCAGCATTAACTCTACAGAGGCATCAGACATTGGGCTATAGGGATTCTATCATTAGTCCAGGGGATGTCAGCTGCTACGTATGAAGATGGCCCTGGAGTTCTTCCCTATCTAGGGAACACAGACTTCCATGGGGTTGCTTTTCATACACCGAGGGCTCTTTAAAGTGTCCTAGGCAGTCCTTCATCCATTTGACAAAGGACCCTGATCAAAAGGTTTCAGAGCAAGTTTCTTATCCTTGTCATTAAAAAATAGTTTCAAGACTGTGTTTTTCAACTTTATGTGCCCTGCTGTCACCATCCACCAGCTGGCAAATAATCATTCATGCAAGGTTACTTTAAAACCTGAATCTATTGTATTAGCCAAAACAGTCCACAAAACTGAAAGCCTCCTTTGCCTTAAAGCTACCTTGAGAACGATTTTGGTTTTAGGGCTTGGATTGTAACTCTGTCCCTATGTACAGTGTGGGAGCTTGGATTAGGAATGTTACAACCACTCACTGAAGACGTGCTACTTTAATGCAAGCCTTGTTAGCATTTCTGGTTGGGAGTTATGCTGTTTTGACATTGCTATCATTAAAATTGTTGCAATTTTTCCTGTTCCAGATAATCTCCAAGGACTAGATCACCAGAGGCACATTTTGGTGGAAATTATATAAATCCTTTATAGATCTGGGCCCATGTTAAGTGCAGCTCTGTCAGATAGAAAACCACCCAGCAATCTTTCCTCTTTTACTATAAGTTTTTTTTATTACTACTACTATGTACTATTTATTATTCTTTCACCAATTCATTTACCAATGTCTCTATAATATCTTGCCATTATCAGCCCAGTATGGCATGCTCTTCTTCTGTTTCAAGGTAGCTAACAGGAGAAAAAAAAAAAAAAGAGACCACTTCCAAGGAATAATGTGCTCATTCAAGCTCATCTGCACCCATGACTTCAGTAGTTCTGTGCTTTCTGTGGAGTTTCACTTCTTGTTGAAAATTAAGAGCTCTAGCTCTTCAAAGAAGATTCCCCAGCATGACCCATAATTCAGCCTTAGCACAGACCACACTGAGCAGTCCTGCCTACCTGTGAAACATTTGACTGAGGCAAATGGCAGGTGAACTCCACCACCTCTTTCAAAAGTTAGCATTTCTCAACTGTTCAAGTTAGGGTATCTAGCTGGGTTATCCAGCATGTGAGTCTCATCTCTCTCAGAATGCTGGATGGATGTAAGACTGCTAATTAATAAATAACTTTAAAAAAAATCTCTCCTGAATATAACATTTTCTCTCCAAGCCCAAAGAAGTTAACCTTTGTTTTAATATTACTAGTTTGAACAGTATGTAACAGTAAGTAAATCTAAGAGCTCTGGAAATTAGTCACCCTTGTTTCCTACTCATTTGCATTTCATGGTGGGCTAACTTTAACATGCAAAAGGTTGACATCCTAACTAACAATTTCCCTGTGGTGGTTTCCCAATATCTTACAGCATTAGCTTAACCTGCAACCTTTTCCTTCAATTAGGGCACCCCTGTCCATCTGGCAGGCTACTTCCACAAACTTAAAGGAATCTGCACTTTGCAATGAGATGCATGGAGCAATACTGAACACAGAGAAGCCATGTCCAGCTTAGGAAGTCTCCAGAGCTAAAAATAGCTGGAGGCTCAGAAAGTACTTGGGAGGAATACAGTGTACACTTGCCTTCTCTTACTACGTCCTCGGGTAACCCCTAGATCTATGGTAACTGTCAGAAATGGGATAATGGGCTATTGGGCCCACTGGCCTGACCCTGTAAGGCTGTTCTTATGTGCCCTTCACTCTGTCAAATGTGGGTAATGGGTCAAATAGCATTTGGAAAAGGAAGAAGGTAAGGGGAAGAAACAACATCTATTCTCCAGTGTCTTTTCATGGAATTAACACAGATTCAACCAGCATTCCAGTTTCAGTTTAGCTCTTGGGGTGCCAGATCTAGGACAGCTTCCTCAAAGCCAAAGGAGTGCATATGCATAAGGCTCTGCGCAAGCTTTCCCAAACACTGCGGGAAGGTTTACTAGGTCAGACACAGCACTCTGCAAATGCTCATAACCAGTTTCCCTCCCGTGTTGTGTCCAGCCTGCAACACAGCGTGCTAGAAAAAGCAACCCAGAAACATCACAGAATATCTTGGGCATCTCTGCACTGTGCTCCTTATCACTCCAACAGGAAGGTTTACTGAACTGGACCTATGCATTCACACAACGCTATGACTGACCCTCTAAGCTTCTTATAACCTGCATCCATGTGGGGAGGGTGCACAGGAGGCACCTTCAGGTGTAGGCATCTTCGGACTGGCACGGCTAGACACAAGCTGTGTCCAGGGACACCACTGAAGTGCCCACGCACTGGACTCTTGGTTCTAAGGCAGCAGTATGCAGCTCCAAGTAGGGTAATAAACCTTGTTGGAAAAAAGCTTTTGATACTATGAATGTGAAGGTAACAGGTAACCCAGATAATATGAATGGGTAACAGAGAATCAACTGCAATTATACAAGTGCTGAAACACTTCTGAGCTTTCCCCAATTCTCTCCAATGCTCCTGCATATCAGTCATGGAAACTGGCAGCCACCACTTCACCAGGCAGCACAGCAAAAAACAAAACCATATGCCCCATACACCAGGCCGGGTTCAATCTGGATCAGCTCAGTGCATTTACGTCCTGTTCCTAGGAACAAGAGTGTGTGAGCTATACCGCTCC